AAAAAAAAAAAAAAAAAAAAAAAAAAAAAAAAAAAAAAAAAAAAAGGTGCTGCTTGAATCAGGGGTGAGCACCTCAGAGGCTGGTGGATGACTCAGGAGGTATCTTTGTGCAGACATATGCTAGAACAAAGATAGCAGAAAGACAGGTTGATCAAACCAGCTCTCTCTGGGATTTAGTTGGATGTCAGGAGACAGAGGAGAACCTACTAAATATGCAGAGAGCAGAAAGACCATACAAGAGACCAAGAGAAAGGGGTGAGTCCCTTGAGGTCATCTCAAACCTAACTTTCTACTTTACAGATCCAAACAGGGCAGCTGTGCAGTAAGTCCCTCCTCCTGAGGGTGTCCTGAGTGAATCTCTGTTTTTCTTTTCTTTTCTTCCTTTCCCCTCCCCTCCCCTCCCCTCCTCTCCCCCACTTCTCTCTTTCTCTCTCTCTCCCCTCACCCCCCCTTTTCTTTCTTTCTTGACAGAATTTCACTCCTGTCGCCCAGGCTGGGGTGCAGTGGCGCAATCTCGGCTCACTGCAACCTCCAGCTCCTGCGTTCAAGCAATTCTCCAGCCTCAGCATCCCAAGTAGCTGGGATTAGAGGTACCCACCACCATGCCCGGCTAACTTTGCATTTTTAGTAGAGATGGGTTTCACCATGTTGGTCAGGCTGGTTTTGAACTCCTGATCTCATGTGATCCACCCGCCCTGGCCTCCCAAAGTCCTGGGATTACAGGCGTGAGCCACCGAGCACAGCTGAGTCTCTGTTTTCTATGGCCCTGAGTGCCCAAATTCTTATAGACTAATATTACAGCACTCCATTTACTGTGATTCTTACAGCTACATTTCAGACTGATAGTTAATATTTCCCTAATCTTTTTGTTAGTAGCAAGTGAAGGCTTTCTTTTCACGACATCAATATTTCACCTTCTTAGATTGGGTCCATTATCCCAACCTGCCAAAAACTTTTGATTTTCCAATCCTGTCCTTACAAAATATTTGTTATGCCATCATCCATGAGTTAGACAAGAACATCATCCAGCATAACATTCATGCTACTGATAAAAAATTCAAAAGCCAACAATACAAAATTGGACACAATTTTAAAGAGCAAATAGTGGTACAAAAATGTGAAAATCAAATTGTCAGTAAATAAAAATAAATTTATTTTAGTGTATGTCATTACTTAAAATTAGTAATTAACAATACTCTAAGTTGATTGCCAATTATCCTGAAAATATAATAAGCTACATAAAGTGACATGACCAAGCAATCCATTTGCGGGATAAAGGTTTTAGCATTTACTCGCTACAGATTGCAAAACCCAGAAGAATTAGGTTTCGGCATCATTAGAGAAAATGAGGCCATAGTTGAGATAATTGGCAACTTGAACTTTGTAGCTGGAGTAATTACCTGTGCAGTCGACCAAGAAGTTATGTTTGAGAAACATATTGCAA